CCTGCCGTATCTTATTAATTTAGACATATCTGAAAACAATATAAATTGCATTGGTGTTGAATATATGGCCCATAAATTACATTACTTATCATCTCTGGATGTTTCTAATAATCCTTGGAGTTGTCTATGTGGTACCAAATTAGCAGAATTTTTAAATGAACGTGGTATAAAATACGATAAAACATTATTCCTGTTGAAAGAAGATTGTTATTCCTCATTTAGACCTGATATTATTACCAACTCATCAATTCTAGTGACGACTGATATTCCTCTTTCGAATGAAACTATTAAAGGATCCTGTACGATTCATGAAGATACAACAGGAATTCGATACCGATGTACAGATGGTAATTTGTTGTTATTGCAATCAATACCATTAGATGTCATTGCAATCGAATTTAATGAGGGACATCTACCGCGATTATCTTTAGAATCTTTTTCAAAATTTATAAATTTGCAAGAACTCGTTATCAGAAATTCTGGATTGACAATAATAGAGCATGGTGCATTTAATAATTTAAATAAATTGAACAACTTAACCATTCAGGATAATCCTCTGGAAATGATAGAATCTTCTTGGTTTAATCTGGGAAATTTGGAAAGATTAGATTTACGCGGTAATTCAATTAAGTATATCGAATCTGGATCATTTCGCTATCTGAATCGATTAACGTATTTAAATCTGGAAGGGAATGATTTAAAATGTATTTTTACCAGCGATTTGAATGATATGCCTAATGTATATATTATTGAATTTTCTGGAAATCCATTGAAATGGAGATGTAGAGTTGAATTGGAACAATTTTTAGAAGCTCGAAAAATTAAATTTATAAAAATTGAGAATTCTTGCGAAGGTAAAAAATTGGTGAGGAATCTATTGCAAAATAAAACTGATGGATCTTTTGATTGTCCATCCGAATGTTCGGCAGCTATTAACATTGATCGATATTTATCTATTTTATTTATATTACCAATACTAATAACACTAATTTATTAAAAAAATATTATAATCGATACTTAAGTATAGTATAATGATCTATTCATTTTTTGTTGTAAAATACATTTTGCATACTGTTGTTCAAATAATTCAAATGTTTAAATGTACTTGTTATTATTTTTTTCTTAATCTTAATTAATAATTTATATTAAAAGAATATGAAAATATTAAAAGAAATTTTGTAACGTAATGTTTAATAAATATAATGCAAAAATAAAGGAATTAATAATTGTTAATAAAAGATTATCAAGGAAAAAAAAATATATTTAATTATTGTATATTTTTTAAACTTATAATATTCCATACTCTATATATTCTCTATATATATATTCTTCTTTGTTTTCATAAAAAATTATTAATTAAAAATTAAATTAGATTTTAATATGTATAAATATATTTATTGAAAAGTGTTTATTAAAAAAATGCTTTAATATCAAATGTTTTTTATATTTTAAAAATAATTACTACACAATAATTATTATATATATAATATTATAATATAATATTATTTCATAGATATGAAAAAAGAATAAAAACAATTATACATATAACATTAGAGATTATGATTTTTAAAATATATTAAAATATACGTGAATATATATAATGTGTATTAATAATTTAAAAATCTAAATTTTTATAATCAATACACATATATTGATTATAAATGCATAATATATAAATTATAAATAAATAATATATCTCATAAAAAATTATTATTTTTAAAAATAGAAATATTTTGCATGCTATTTCTTCTCAGCGAATCAATTTCTGACAATAAAAATTTATTAAATATTTGTTTTTTCATAATAACGATTAATACTTGCATAGTATTAGTAATTTTTATAAGATTAAAAATAACAAAAAAATAAATTCCACAAATAAATATTTGATAATGTTTTTCATATAATATAAAATATTTCAAAATATTTTCCCATTTCTTTTATTTTCGGACTAAAAAATTTAAGTTAATTAAGAATTCCATCATTTTTGTAGAGAATACTTTATATCAAATATTTGCGTTTTATCATATATTAAGATATGTTTGCGAGATCATTCTAATGATATAAAAATGTGATCTATATTTTTTATGAATCTATATTTTTTAAAAATTAAAATATTTTAAAATAAAAATAATAAAAATGGCAACTCATATTTTGTTTGTGTTTACACGCTAAAAGCAAATAGTAGAAATAAAATAGAAATAAAATAAAAATTCAGGAACTAATATCAAAGATAAAAATAATATATAAAAAGAAGATCAAATAGTATCAAAATGTCAAAAGATAGTAGAAATATTAGTAGTAATTAAATATAAAAAGATAAAATAAAAATTAACTGTCAGCGCTATCTATTGAATATCAAAGACATTTCTTAAAAAACAGGATAAAATATGGTAAGAATTGAAAAGCAGCGCCATTTTAAATATTAAAAATATATAAAATATTTCAAAGGTATTCAAAAGATGGTGCTCAAGAATCAATTCTTTATCTCTTTCTATTATTTGCTTTTTTTTTGTTTTTTATAGATTAATTTCATTTATAGTATTATAAAAATGAGATTGATTATCTCTTTTTCTCTATTTTTTTTTTTTTTTTTTTACTTATTTTGTAATAAAAATTTTTGCATTTAAGAGACGATTCCAATATCTGATTAATTTTATTATCTTATAAAATAAAAATACATTAAAATATGTAAAAATGATCTATATATCTATAGATCTATATGATCTATATAAATATATGTTATATTCATGATATATTCTCGGAAAATTGATTTAAAGACCAAAATAAATATAAAAATTGATATATATAAATATCGATTGATATATATTTATTAAATTATAAGTTTGCATTAAATACAGGAAAATAGGAACAGAATGTAATGATGGTATAACAAGTATAGTAGTTTCCATCTTATTTTGTTAATAGAAATTTCAGTTGCTTACAAGCTTTAATTAATATATACTTATATATCAACTTTTGTATTATATTTGTTTCGGTTTCTGAAATTACTTATTATAAAAACATATTTTTATTAATTAATATAAACGATTTGAAATTCTGTAAGCAAATATTTACATGTATATTTAGATGACCTAAAATAAAAATCTCCAGGTACGAAAGATTTAAATTAATGATAATTATTAATAGGTTATGCTTAAAAAAATAGTATTAGTATATATTAGTAGATTGTGATTAATTGATAATTATATAAATAAATAACTCATCGTAAATAAAGATAACTTTTTTTTAATTAATTTAGAATATAATTTTATTTTTATGATTTTTTTTTTTAATAATTTTAAATTTAAAACATTTATTTCGAATTAAGGATTACTTTCCAGTAGCCCGGCTAGCTCAGTCGGTAGAGCATGAGACTCTTAATCTCAGGGTCGTGGGTTCGAGCCCCACGTTGGGCGAATTCTCTTATTTTTACATTTTATAAAGTATAAAAATAATAATTATATAATAGTTTCATAAAATAAGTAGTAAAGTAAGTAATAATTAATAAATAAATCAATTATAAATTAAAACATCTTTCATCTTGAATTTATAAATTATTTTAAAAATTATTTTCATAGTTATTCATATTTTAACAAAAAATTTAAGCATAGTAATTTAAATTATTATATTTACATAGGAGTTTTATTATATTTACATATAGGTCATATATTTTTAGTAATAAAAGAAATAAAAAAAAACTAAAAAAAATAAACAGCGATAATTAAAGAAAAAAAAAACCACTTTAGCAGAGCGTGGTTTCGATCCACGGACCTCTGGGTTATGGGCCCAGCACGCTTCCACTGCGCCACTCTGCTTCGTGAGTACGATCTTTAATATTCTATTTTATATAGAATAATATATATTAATCGCATTTAAAAAACTTAATTTTTAAATTTATTATATTTATTATATTTATATTATAATAATTTATTAAATTTATACATTATAAATTTATACATATTAATTTTTTTAATAATGATATTTTTTAATCTTTGAAATATACNTATATGTATGATATGATGATATGTAACATAATAATAAAATTTTAGTTAACAATTTTAACACTACATTATATTATATTTTAGTATTATAAAATTTAGTATTATAAAATTTAATATTATAAAATCTTGGCCTTAAAAGAAATTCAATTCAATATAATATAAGATATCAATAAAAAAATAAAATTTAATATATTCAATTCTTAATCAAAGTTTTGTAAAGATTCAAAGTAACAATAATTTTCTTAATATTATTTTTTTTGTTTTGAATTATCTTTATTTAAATTGAACCAGTATCGAAAATAATTTTATATTCTTATTATTTTAAAGTTATTTCTAAAATTCATGGTTTTATATAAACAAATAAAACATCTCATGAAGTTTTTAATTAAATGTTTTTGAAAAAATAAAAATTAAACAAAAAAAAATATTATATTAATTGACATAATATAAGAAACAATAGAGAAGAAATAAAAAAATACAATAAAAAAAATAAAAGAAATAATTAAAAATTAAATCATTCATATAAAATTCATTATATTTTTTATTTTTATTATCTTTTAAATCTTCAATTTGTACATATTAATTAATAAAATGATAATAATATTGAAATGAAAAATTCTTTTTATTTCTATAAAATCTTATCTATTTGTATTTGCACAATCATCTAATGAAGATTTTTTAGCATGAAAATTCTTGCACTTATCCTTTAAACAGATAAAGTTATCTTTTGGTATAATAATTAAATTTTTTGAAGAAGATTGTTGCAAATATTTTTGTAATAAAGATGAGCTCAATTGCATCCATGAGCATTTGCATGAAATAGATTCTTCTGTGCTTTCTTTTGTTAAACTTGGATCTTTATTTTTAATAAAATTCAATATAAATTATTCATAATATACCATTCAAATTGATAATATAGATTTGTAGATTCATACCAATTAATTTTAAATCTTCTTCTAAGATATCTTCATTAATATTAATCCATCTTAAAATATCTTTACGAGTTTTAGAATTTACTTGTTTTATAATATATTCGATATTTTTTGCAGGATCAGGAGGAGATACAACTTTTTTCAAAACTGATTTATCTATAGACCATTCACTACTTTTATCACCCTTACATTTACAACAAGTGCAAGTATCTGGATGATCAATATCTCTGCATTTCTCATCATAATCGGAAGCTATAAAAAATTTTAATCATAATTTTTTATACTAAAGAAAATATAATAACTATAATTACCCTGACATTTCAAACAATAACAACATCTGCAGTCTTTTATATAATTTCTGCTTAGTTTTGTAGAAATAAGAGATACAGTCAACTAAAAGAAAATATTTTTCAATAAATTTGTTATCAAAAATAATTATAATAAAATCGTACATGTTGCGATTTAATTTCACTTGTAGTTGAATATGTATATTTATAACATGTTTTAATAGAATCAGGAATCTTTAAAGAAGTTAATTTCTGCATTTGTGAAGAAAGATAATAAGGAATATTGTTTTCTTTTTCATAATAATCTCCTTCATATTTTGCAAAATACCATCTATGATCTACCTTATATGGTCTAACATCTATATTCTCTTGATTCAAGACTTGAGATAATAACATTCGTTTAACTATCTGTAAATAATCATAATAGAAATTATCCTAATTATTATATATTTTTACTGCGAATACTTTTGCTGATGAATGACCAATGCAATTGCCAAATATTTTCAGATGTCTTAACATAGGATATTTCTTCAATGTACATAAAATATCCACCATTCCATTATCAGTGATTTTATTATATGAAATATCGAGGAATAAGAGTTTCGAAAACGGAATGGAATAACTTAAACTTCTGAAAATTAAATCAATTCATTATTAAATAAATATTTATTTTTTTAAAAAGAAGTTTTGATCATGTCATTAATCTTCAAACTATGATTATTTCAGAAATAATGCGGCTGATAAATATTGATTCATTATCGAATTTTTCATATTAAATTTTGATTTTATTTTTTTTTAATATTTTCTAATAATACTCTAGAAGTATACAAGTAATATAATATAAGTGACATTCGTTTATGTTTATATAAATTAGGAAAGGAAGAGTTGTCAATCAGTCCTGGATAGCTTAATGGTTAGAACAATCTGATAAACGAAAAATTCGAATTCGAAATTCCAGGTAATTCGATCGGCCAACTCTTTTTCTTCTATAATAAAATAATAATTTATTTAAAAACGCATAAATATTTATTATAAATCATGTATATTGAATTATATTATAAATACAAAAATATTGCAAATTTTTATATTTATTACATTAATATGTATAATAGATATACCTTGCACCATGATCAGTTATAATGTTTCTGCATAAAATTAAAGTTTTCAAAGCTGGTTTTCTTACCAACCATTTAGAAATATGATCAATACCATAATCACCAATATTGTTACATCCTAAGTCTAATATATGTAATGAATTGTTATATTTTGTATTAAACATCATATTTTCAATATCATGACAACTAAAGTTGTATTTTTGTAAATGAATTGCTATTAGAGTATTATTGTACTGAACAAAAAGTCTTTAATTAATAAGATTTTTAAAAAATTGTTAAGAAAAAAATATAAAATTACTTTAAGCATATGACCAATTATATCTGCAAAATGAGCAGAATCAAAATAATACATGCATTTTGGATTTGGTCGGCTTATATCCAAACTTTTTAGACTTTTATTAGAAATTTCTTGATCTGAGCTTAAAACCATTATAAAATATATTAAACTAGAAGCAGTTTGATTCACATCAGCAATATTTAAATTATTTATATGTTTATTCTTCAATAAAAAAAGAGCCATGTTTCTTAAAGTCTGTAAAAATTATTTAATTAAATTTTTATTAATAAATTGATTTAATATAATATTTTAATAAATATCTTTTACTTTTTCACTGAATTTGTTTGCTTTTAAATTAAGATTTTTTAATTTTAAATCCATCCCAAATTTCAACATATAATTAATTCCTATGTCAGAGATACTATTGTTTTGAATATCCAGATCTTGAATAATTTTATACTGCTGATGTTAGAAAATTTTTCAAAATATTTTTAATATTATAATAATTCCTTTTTAAAGATACTTCATCTTACAAGAAAGTGATCAATCAAATTTATAAATCCAGGATTTGAAATATTATTATTGGCCAAGTTAAGATGAGTAATATCCTGATTTTTTTTCAAAAAAATTAATAAAGCTGGAATATCTTTGTCTTGAAGATTTCTTCTATAATTATTTATAAAAATATGAAATTTAATTTAATGGATAAGAGAAAATTTAAAAATTTATGCTTTTACTGACCCAATTTTTTTATTTATAACATGACCACACATATCAAGTTTCTTTTCTGTATTGCAAATTTCTTTACAGAAACACTTGAAGAAACATTGTCCCAAGATAGTTTCATGAATATAAAATGGTTTTACATTCTGCAGCATATTTAATAAATTAACTTTTTCACAACTTGTACACATACATTCAGATGAATATTGATTAAATTTCGTTATATTATTATTCATATTTATTAAATTTTATCAATTTTCTTTTTAATTCTTCAAAGAAAATTTTTTAAAAATTTTATCTAAATGATGTTATAAAAGTAGATGTTGAAATGTTCATATTTTAACTGGAATTATTCAACATATTTTCGTTCATAAAAAGTTTTTTAATGAATTACTAATACATTTTCATTTATAAAAAAATGATGGACGACTTTTTTCTTGCAAAAAAAGATGAACCTGAAGTTATTCCATTAGAAGAAATGTTCAAAGGTAAATAAAAAATTATATTATCAACATTAATCTTACCAAAAACAATAAATAATTGTAATTAATTTTTAATTTAAAAATATTAATTTTTTATCAGCATATTGCGAGATGGATCCAGTTTCTTCTGATTTAAATGTCCAGTTGATTCCATTATCACAAAGTGACAAATGGTTAATTTCTGCTCGTATACTCGATATGATTACACTAACAACTACAGATACGGGTCTTACATTTTTTAAATTTCGAAAAAGGGCTTTATCCTTTGAAGAATATTTAACATATTTAAAAGATTTAGCAGAATCTAAAAGTCTAGATTTTGAGGAAATGAAATATAAGATGCAAATATGCGGGAAACCTAGAAAAAACTAATTAATTATATGTTTGCAAATACTATATACGAATTTTATTTTTTAATAATAATTTACAATGTTGAAACTTCCATCTATTATCTAATTTTATTTAAATAATAAACTGAATTGATTAATTGAAAATCTTTAAAAAAATTTTTATATCTTGATTTTGATTCTCATTATTTTATTTTGTATGAAATTTTGAAATTTAAAAAATAATAATATATTAGTGTGATTTTATATGAAACCTATTTGAAAATCATCATATGTTAATAAAATTTAGGTATCGTGTAATGCATTTTCTGTAATAAATTCTTTAAGATGAAAAATTGTATATCACATAACTTATGTATTTAACAACAAATACATAAGTTATGTATTTCACAAAACTTTAATGTTAATTTAAATATTTTTGGTAAATATATTGAATGGATTAAAATTGTTAAAGATACATATGTTTTATAATATTTTTTATAATATGTTTTCAATATTTTTTATTTAATTATAAGTTATATGAATCACAAAAAAATCACAGCTAAAAATCACAGCTAAAAATCATATAATCTGCAATTAGAAGTATGATTTTTTTGTATTTTTCAGAGTATCAAAAATAAATTAATATAAGAAAAAACAATTGAAGAATATTAATGATAATATATGATAAAATCAAATACAAAAATATTTCAATAATCTTCTTTTTTTCATGCCGATAAATAATAGAATATATTTTATTTTTCGATATGCAAGACATAAATACTTTCTTTATATTATTATTTTTTTTGTTTGTTGTAAAATATATTATATATTCTGTTGAATCCATTTTAATGCAGTTCTAATGTTACTAAGCGTAACTCTACCAAGGAAACTAGCGATTAATTGATATTCTGGCATAGTACGTCTTCCACAATATCTAGTAGAAAGTAACCTATTGTAAGAATTCTTTTTTTCAATTTTTTGAGCATTTTCATCTTGCATTATTTCTGATAGTTGTATCGTGGAATTGCGTCCTTCGCAAAGTACTTTTGTAGTTAAACATAGAAGCCACTGCATAACCTGTAAAAAATATGAAAAAATAAAGTAAAATGAAAATTGATTAAATTTAAAAATAAATTTAAGAACATAAATACTTCATTAGTTGATGGTAATTTCCATTCACTTTTGAACCAAATGCTCGGTGCCCATAAGTGTAATTGTACAATAGTTGCTGCGGTTTCTGTATCAAGTCTCTAAAATTAAAATTGCATTAAAAATTAAAAATTTTTTGAATTAAAAATATGTTTAATCATAAATACCTTATATAAGCTTCTCGACAATAAATTTTTTATCAATGCAGAAATAATTGTTGGTATATGATTAGGCAAAGGTAGAAGATCTTTCTCATTATAATTATAATTTTTAAGAGAAGTTCCTTCTTTGTCATTATGGAACGGATTTTTCATACCAAATAATTCATATGCTATGGTTCCAATTGTCCAAAGATCAGCTTTTGAGTAATTGATACTGGTAAATGGACCAGGTTCTGCTGTAATTATTTCTGGCGCCATTAAAGCTACATTACCACCTTTATCAATATCATGAGTATTGTAAGGCAGATATAAACCATGACGTTTGTCTGCTAAACAACATCCAAAATCTGTGATTACCAAAGATGGGCAGTTATCTGTTTCTTCTGACAAATCTAACAGAATATTATCACTCTTGAGGTCACTACATTTTCAAGAAAAAAAATGATATATGAAATAAATTATATAAAACATATAATTTAATTAATTTATAATGTATTGGCATTCTATTTGACTTAATAATATTGATTTACCGATGTGCAATGCCATGTGCATTCAAATGAGTCACACCCTCTAATAACTGAGCCAATAATAGTATCGATTCTCTTGTACTCAATCTATGATCATTCAAGTATTGTTTCAATGTAATATCATATCTACAATAAAAAAAAGAAAAAAAAATAAATAGAATAAATAGATAAATAAGAATAAAAGATAATTTAAATGTCTAAAATAATTATTTATGGATTATTTTTTAAATAGGAACCTTTTCATTAGCAGAAATAAACTCATGTTTCTTCCTGAACCATGAGGATTAATGCGTGCAGGTAATGCATCAGGATACATTTTCCATGAATCTGGTAAAACTGGTACCTTATCCGCAAAAACATAATACATTGCTACAATATTTGGATGTGGTGTAAGCTTAATTTTCTTCTCAGTCATTTTTATTTCCCATTCAGATAATTCTTCGTTATTTAAATGTCTTCTTGCTGGAACAGTTTCCCGATACATAGATCTTAGAATTGATAACGCATTTGATTCAGCATCATAGTTGAACATCATCTTTAATGCTAATGGAAATACAGTTAAATCTTCAGTTTTGTCATCAATTTTTATTTGATTTTGATTTTCACCATTGGGAATATCATTAAATCTTGCTGAATAAACAACTGCTGAACATCCTTTTGCAATAATTGGACCAATTATGAAATCTTTTAAAGTAATTTTTTTTTCATTTTTAATTATTTCATAATTCTTATCATTTTGTGGTGCATTCCATTGCAATTTTGATATAGCTTCCTAGAAATATTTTTTTATTAATATATAAAATTTTTATATGTTTTATTTTTTATAAAAGTAATATTTACCCGTATTTCCCAACATACTCCTTCCAATTCATCATCTTTTGTTAAAATACCAGTACCAGATGCCAATGATATACCAACCAAAGCAAAAAATGGAGCAGAATCTCCACCAAAGACTAATTTACTAGCAGCTCGTCTACGTAAATCTGCAGCTAAACTATTAGTTACTCGTTTTAAAATATTATCTACAAAGATTCGTCGAGCATGGGCTCCCAAATATCCAAGATGTTTTCCTGTACTTGATACATTGCTATTACCCGGGGGCAGACAGCCCTGGGACTTACCTATTTTAAGATTAAAAAAATCAAATAACAAAATAAAAATATTAATGCCTTTTTATATATATTAAATATTTCGAAACAAAAATATTGTATTCAAATATATAACATGATATAACATATGATATATATATATATACATTCATTAAATAACCTCAAAATTCAAAAAATTAAAATATAAGTAATTTTAGATTCAAAACATCCAAAAATGTATGCAAAGATTATATATATATATATAAATTTCTTAAATAAGGATCAAGTCAATCAAAATTTTGTTTTTTTAATGATTAGCTATATCAAGATTCTGTGAGAATCATAAATAAAATTTAATTATATTTAAATACTTACCTACTTGTATAACGTGTATCTTGTCGCGATAGTTCCGTAGATGGTAATTAGAGTAGAAGCACTCAGTATTTCTAAAGGAATGCAATAGAGCCCGACCATTTTGTATAAAACGATGGACTGCCGTCCGAATCGACATCTCTTTGCACTTCTAGGTCGAGAAAGCCCAATGGGCTACCTCCTAAGAAAAATAAATTTTCGCCGTCAAAGGCAATTCACTATTACTAATTCGATCGTTTCTTAATGATTTTTTATTAATTACATATATTATAATTAAGAAAGTTACAGTAAAATTCTTCCTTTCTTCGTTGATCGTTTTCGTACTCTATCGGATTCTATCGGACTGTCATGGAATCGAATATATTGTTTCCATATATAAGGTGTTTCATTAAAAAAGAAATGAATTGACAAAAAATAGAAATTTAATTATATAAAATTTAATTATTAATTTTCAATATCGACAAATATAAAATTTTTTATCTTTTTAAAAGAATTATGAAATTAGAGAAATAAAATTATAAAATATACAGTATAATTAAATATACATTAAATATTATTAAATTAAATATACATATAATTAATTAATTTTTATTATTTCGAAGATAATTATATTTAAAGAATAAAGTAGTTTGCAAAATTTTTTGACTTTAATTCTATATAAATATATGAAATATGAAATATAAAAATAAATTAATATATTTATAGCATTCTAAATCTTTACATATATAATATGAAATTCAAATTAAAATTAATAATACTTTAATTCTATATAAGATAATAAGTTTAATTTTATATAAGATAGTTATATTAATAAAAAAAAGATGAATTATGATAAAACACCAATATGATTTCATTATATAGATAATTATTTCATTATAAAATAAGCTTTATAGAATATTATACAATTATATATATATTCTATATTATAAACATATTCAGATAAAATGATTAAGTAAATTAACTATTTTATTTTTATAATTATTTTTTTTTCATTAAAGTAATGATATTAATAAATATATATTTTTTTAAAAATTATTAATCTTATAATATTATTTGAGAAATATTATTCATAATATTATTAATTTTCAATATCGATATCGATAAGCTCAACTATATATTGATTTACTATCAATCAAATTGCAATTATAAAAAACATCCCCGCATGTTTCAGACAGGTACATACTGTGGTGTCTAAATGTACAAATTACAAATAAACCACATTCTTTTCCAGTACAAGGATTTTAACAAATGTAATCACTACACGCTTTGTTATTTGAACATTCATTATTAGTAAAACATTCTTCATGTTCGCAACTAATAAAAATTTCTTATATATCCCATGAGACAAGTATAAATTGATTTTTTCTTTTCTGTGTTATCATAATTAGGAATACAAATCGCATTTGTTCCACAAGGATTAGATTTATATAAATCTCCTAAATTATATCTCCTATATTAATAAACATTTAACCTTGAACTAGAAATCATTTAAATTTATTATAATTAAAATCAGTTATTTACTTTAAATAACCTGCAATTGATGGAAGAATTACTAATCATGTGTTTTGGATACCTACAAACTGGAGTTATGTCTCATAGATTGCAAAAAGTTACATTTGGACAAATATATTTGGCCAATTTTGATAATTAAAAACTTGATATTCTGCGTTTTTACCATATTTAAATTTACATAAATTTTAAAAGAAAATGAATAAAAAAGATGATTAATGCATTCTCTATCATTTTATCATTCGTAATGATAACCAATCAAAGGAAATCCTCTATAATCTAGAAAACAACTACAAAGTGGAATTTCATTCATTATCTCACATTTAATATTAGATCCACAAAAATTTGATTTACAAATAGTCTCTAGAAGAATTTTATTAATAAATTAACTTTATTAATATCAGTCGTTTTTATTGTAAAAAATTTTGTATTATATACATGCAAATGATAAAAAAACAACATTACTCAAAATTTGAAAATCATATAGAAAAAATACATACTATATATAATATTATATATAACTTTTTCATCTTTTTTATAATATCATATAATATCATATAATTTTTCTATTATTATATATCTTTATAATAGTTTTTTAGTATTATAATATAGAAAAGATGTACAAGAATATTATTTACCAGAATTAGTTATATAGCAGGAGATGAAAAGATCACCTGTATATGCAGGAGGACAATAACAAGTTGGAATATGATTTTTAGTTGCACATAATGCATTTATACTACATAAACTATTGCAAAGATTTATACATTGTTGGAGAATACATTGTTTTTAATATAATCTTCATTGATTAAAAATTAAATTA